TCCTTGGAGGGGTAAACGCCAGCACAAGGAGCTGGAGAACCTGCGGAGCTGAGGCACAACGCATCCCCTGTGGTGCCTCGGCGCTGCGACAGCACCGGCCGGGAGCGAAGCGGTCGGGGAGTGCCGGTGTGGGACGGGAAATGGCGATGCTGCCGCCTGTTACCACAACCTCCCGCACCCCAGAAGAAACCTTCGGCACCAACAGAGATTTGGGGTATCTGTCAACAGAAAACTATGTTAACCGAGAGGTGACAACTTCCCGGCTGAAAAAAGCCACCAAACTAATACTAAATGCTAAAGTTTAGCACACACAGAATTAGGGCTCTGCTGCAATACCTAGTCACAAAACTGCCCTTTACGACACAAATTTGCTCCACAAACTCCTTTCCCCGACTAAGTTTTGCAGATTGTAAAAACGTCAAAAACTAGTCAAAATTGGTCTTGATTCAACTCTCTATAAAATTTTAATGACTGTGCTCCTGTTAACTAAATATTCGAAACAGAAAAATAGCAAGTACTACATATGCTCTTTTTAAACAATAAATAAGCATTTTTTTAAACAAGAATTAAATATAAACTTTACACATCCAAAATACAATATACAACCTATTTCAAAAAGGACTCATCAATTACAGAAACATAGTAAAACCATATTATGAACTGCATGTCAGCTTTCCTATACAAACAGTAATGCTGCTCATGGCAGCTTTTTCTTCAAGTTCCACAGTCAGCTTACTGATTTTCCTACTTCGAGTAAGATGTGTGCTCCCTCATTTGACTAGACGGTCAGATGATGGAGTCCGGTGGAATCAAACAAAAGATTCCGTGGTGTTAGCAAAATTAGTTACCTTTTTCAAGACTGACAAGTGTGAATCTTCCAAAGATACCGCGTAGAACTAATTTTATCTTTTCAGAAAGGCCGGTGCGATAAGGCTGTAGTAAGATTTTAGACTTAACCCACATTTTATCCAACCAAAAACATTTTGTATCACCTGTCACCTTCAGAAAGAACAAGTTGTATGGACTGTCTCATTAAGACCACAACAGTAGAATTAACAACATATACAAATGAAGTTTTATCCGTTTTCGATAATGCAGAAAGCAAAAGAGACTTCCATAAAAAGGATTTCTTTGTTCTCAAACTTCACTTAGAAACTCAGCTTAACATACAGTTGTTCTGTAGCATTAGTAAAGTTCACTAACAAAAGACTTTGCTGTACGCCGTAAATAAACCAAAGTGTTCAACAGTTTTGTTGCCGTTGTTCATGTGGTATTTAGTTGACTTTGTCTTTCAGTTTCAGCTTTTTTCTCTTGCCGGTGGTTAACTGCAGCCCAGAAGGTTATTTTTTTCAGAACTTGCTGCAAAAGTTTTGATGGCAAGCATGGTATTTGATTCTGTAAGAGAGTTGCATTTTTACCAATGCAGTCAAGACACAACCTGAAGAAGGAAAAAAGGGGGAAAAAAAAAAAAAAAAGGAAAGAAAGATTTAAGTAAATGGTCTATAACCAAGACAAAAAAAAAGTGACATCTAATATAACAGCCGGTGATGTTCATTATGTATGTTGTGCCTGCCTGTGCAGGAGAGTATTATACACCACCAGTGTTTAAACTGCTATGGATTGGCAGACATTGCATGTTTCAAATACTTACTGAGGAGGTAATTTTATATTTTACCTGCCGATGTAGGAGTACCTGGTTCAAACCTGTGTGTAAAAGCACAGTGCCATAAGGATTTACACGAGGCTCTTTGTGCCAATAACCTCAACTCACCTGAGGAGTGAATAAGGCTGAGTCTGAAATATCAACAAGTCGCTGCAGTGACCCTGATCAACAGAAAAAAAGGAACCATTAAATTGACAAACAGCCTATCTCAGAAATACTGCTATTTTCTAGATTAATGTAACATTTACTACCACATGCATAATTTAAAACTGGCAATACCTGAATAATCATTTATAAAGAATCTGAATATCAAATTCCTTTTTATGAGCCTAACAAGGGCAGGAAAAAACTCTCCTGCATTACTTTCCAAGAACACCCAAGGTCCCATCTCACACCACCATATGATAGGAATGAATGCAATAATATCACCAATTGTATTAACTTTATATCAATTTTAATTATCATAGTGATAGGATTTCATTATTCAGTTTACTGACTGTGTCCATGAAATGCAAGTCATCTTTGCTTCCACCAAACACCATCACTTCTCCTTCTTTTCCAAGGCAGGCTGTATGCCACAATCTAGAAATAAAATTATAAATAGAATTTGTGACCAAGTAACAACAAGCAGTTGTGCATTATCAGCAAAACAGATCTAAACCCTACATGTTTTTAAGGGTTTCAGAGAAGCAGTAAGTTTACTTGCATATTAACCTTGTCACCTCACATAGACTCTCCTCCATTCTTCATATTCCAGTGTCTTTTCAAAAGACTCTTTTGTTATAAGGATATAAGTTCCTTCCAACAAAAACAGAAAGGTCACTTTTCTAATCCTGTGATTCCACTAGTTACGCACAGAGCCTCGAAGTCTTACTGGCCTCACTACTTACCCAGAAGAATTTTACAGCTTTAAGTAATGTGTTTTACAAGTTGCTCTGTGAGCTGCAGAAACAATAAAGCCCGTGTCTCAAGGCAGACCTCCTGTCCTTACGAAAGAATGGAGAATAAGCCCTGAGCGCTCACTGGAGCAAAGCAATTACGAGAGTCTCTCTTTTCTGTTTGGCCATTTATTTGCACAGAATATGTTGGGACTTAGTATCTCTGAGGTTCCTACTTCTTTGTCAAATATTACTGAAATGAGTCAATTGATTCAAAACGTACATGGGCAGGAGAGGCAGCCATACATGCACTCAGCACAATAATGAAACTCTTACTTCTTAGGAAACTAAGACAAAGATGTTATTTCAAAAGTCTTCAGAGGTAAAAAATAATACCTTAAAATATGACGTTACTAATTTCTTTAACAATATAAAAGGAGAGAGCAATGTGACTATCCATCTCATGAGAATTTTGCTGAATGATGACATTTCATAAAGACCAATATATTTTTGTCATTATTTGTCTCTTCTGTACTCGACTTATATATACCTTGTCTTACTTATCACTACTTCAACAAAACATTACAGTGGAAAATTTGTAGAAAACAAAGTAACTATACAAAACAAGCTTTTGCCAAGAACAGCTTTTCTTTTCCTTTTTTTTTTTTTCTTTTTCTTTTCTTTTTAAATTTTCCACTATTTCTTTAATTCTAATGGCTTTAGAACTGTGGGGTTTTCAGTACGGACTCTTATCCCTGAACACTAGGATGAGAGCTTCAGAATACAAGTTACCCTGTTTCAGTTTTATGCTTCCCCCAAAGATTCCTGGGGATCATTTTCTATATGTCCATTACTTACATCACACCCACAAGTTTTGTGTTATGCACACAAAAGCACATGGTATAAAAAAAATCAAAACTAAACCAAAACCTGACTTGTATAATCTTGCTTTTACAAAGATTCTGCTACTTCAGCAGCCACACCTTGCTAGCTTTACTTTTTATTATTAGCAGATCAAAATCTATTAATTTTTCTACTGGTGTATCACCACTGAAGTAAATATCACAAGATGATTATCACCACAGAGCTCTGGCCCTTTAAATCTACTTAACCAAAATAATATGCGCCACTAGAACTTTCATGCAAAAGTAAACGTTCTCACTTTCTTACTCCATTCATATCAGCAATTATTCACCGTTCTCCTTAGGCTAAACTGTATCCCACCTTTTCTCTTCCTCATACCTGTAGATAGATCTGTCTCTCCCTTATCTGCATTACGAAAACTCTGGCCTGGACTTCATCACCGAAGAACACTGGGGAGCCTTTCCTGCCTTGACTTTGTTGGCAATCCTAGCTTGCAACCTGATGCTTTTTCTACAGACTGACAGAGTTTATGTCCTCTCACAGCTGCTCTAACTTATCACCTAAACATTCTAACAAAGCATGTTATTTAAATTATACAGATGCTGAATTGATGTAACCTTTTTACATAACTCTTCTAACTAGAATAACAGAATTACATTGTAACGAAAACATACAATTTGTTCTGTATTTTAACCTGGCATGCAAAATGTTAGGACCATTGATGGACAGAAAGAAAAATATTTTCTACCAATACACAATCACAGATCTATAACCTGGAAGACAGAATTTTAGAAGTTACTAAAAATGAAGGTTGAAGGAAAATGATCTTTACAGAATTTAAGGAGGAAATAAATTTTGCAGAAACATCAGGAAAATACACTAATGCATGTGTGATATACTCTGTATTATTATAAAATAATAGAAATACATAAAAAAGTACGCATATACATATTATTGTCAGTGCATTTTAAGTCCTGCTGTAAAGACATATGAGCGGTAGAACTGACTTAAACCTTTTTCAGCTGCAGAGATCCTGCAGTAATCCAGGGTAAGTCTAGGGATACAATTATGGTACAGCTTCATACTCAAACTACTTCAATATACAGACAGGCTTTTGGTATAGCTCCTTTTATCCATGTTTCCAGGACTTCCTGAAAAAGCTTATTGAAGTATATTAAAAAAAAAAGGGGGGGGGGCAGGTAATTTACGTCAATAAATGATTAGGTCAATGAAAGGCAACTCAGCCTACAAACTGCACACCAAAATCTTCAGATGGTGGAGAACCAGAGGGCACGTTTGGACTTGGGGGAGCTCTGAGACTCTCATCAGCATGTGACCCAAAAGCTCTGTTCTCTTAGGAGGGTCTGGGCTGCGTGTGCAGTGCAGTCCCAGGAAATTTAGCAGTGTCAGCCTCAGGAACCCTCTTTGGCACTTCTGCTGCAGCAAGGAAGGTGGCTTGCTCAACAGCCTCTCTGCCAGCACAGCCAAGTGACAGCTCCATTTTGTAGCCCAGTATAGGATCTGCCCTTGAATTGACTGAAAACCACTTGGGGCTCAAGAGTCACAGGTTCCTGACATGCAGCCCCACCGCCACCCAAGGCACAAATGTTATTCCAGCTTAATTGCAAAGTAAAGGCTGAGCTGCAGCTCCCTAGGCTGCTGCCTGTAGAAAAAGCACATTCTGTCCCTTCCTTTTTCATGATGCACCAGTAAAAATAATTACACAAGGTGAGGCAGTCCACTTCAACTTTTATGAGGCCATCCCTGTAAAGAACTGAACACAAAGACAGATATGATCCTTGACCGCTAATTATGTTCTTTGTTATTCAAGGAAGTCATCAGTCCCTTCATAGATCAGTTCACTACTTGTAAAAAGACAGAAAATATTCTATGACGCTAAGGTATATGTTTATTTGGGCTTGAAAGAAATATAAAGAAAGCAGAAAACTTGGTCTAACAGTGCTGTTACATTTAAAAGACACCCTAGAATAAGATAGAACAGGAAGAAAATTAATTGAGGTAAAGATATTTCAGTAACAGAAAACAGAACGTTAAGGCAGGAAGCATGCAAATGCCAGACCAGAATTGTACACTATGCTAAAAGAGTGATGTAAAATTGTGCTGAGCGTACCTAGGTGAATGTATAGAATGAATTCCATTAAAAACTGAGTATTTACTACCTACAGCAAATCAATTCAATAGTATTTACATTATAAATACAGAGAATGCTTCAAACAATGTGTTTAAAAAGTCTGTGCTCTGATAAAGCAAGCACCTGTTTTCAATGGCAGCTTCTGGTTCAGAACATGAAACTTGCTTTCTTTAGTCAGAAAGAATCTATATTTTTCTGTAGTCTTAAACTAGAGAGGGAAGTGGAACAGACTCTGGAACAGATAGTATTGTTGCCAGTAGGAACAATGCACATTCCAGAAGTAGGGCCTTTTTGGTTGGCAGTTAAGTCCTCGAAACAACAAAACTCCACAGTCATTTACTGTGCTGTTTAGTACTAAATTCAGTTTTGCAAAACTGTAATCATATTTAGGTGCTTCTACTCAGGGAAAAAACTCAGACAAACAAGGTATTTTATAGTATTTTTGAACCCTGAAAGGTGCATCAACATTTTCATGGTTGTCATCCCCATGTTTCTAATAATGTACCAACATTAATCGACTTTTATTACTTTTGTAGGTTATTAATTCCTCAAAAGTTATGTGATATACATTTTCTTATATAAAAATAATTTGGCTATAGAGCGTCAGGTTAGTTGGACACCTAGATCCTTCATCACAAAAAATCTTTTCATGCAAGTAAGGATCAATTATAACAAATATAGAAAGTAATAATGCTGTATCAGGTATGAAGGAACATAAGTTAGTAAAGCAAACTATTTAATCATACTGCATTAGTTTTCTAAAATATTCTTACAATGTAGTTAAAAAATACTGTTCAATAATTTAAAATTACTTTAGTTTTTTTAAAATGCCTACATTTCAGCAAACATTATCTATTTTTGTATACCTAGGCCTGCTCTTAGGCAAATGGGTAAGTTGTTTCCATCCATTCGTTGTAATGCTGTGAATCCAGCCATCACCTACAACATAAGAACATACATTAGTACTGTTTCTTGTGACACAGTATCACCTTTTTATTTATACAAAAAGCTCTGTATTCTAAGAGCACATTGTATTAAGATAACAGTACCATCATCACTACAGTAACTTGCATCTTTTCAGTCTTTGTAATTTAACTTAACCGTGCAGTCACAGAAAGCTCTCTGCATTGAAATCTGGAATTAAAATACACTTCCTTTTTTTCTTTTCGGATATAATGAGAAAATCACCCCCTCCCAGTGGAATATATTTGTGACACGCAAAACTATTTTCACTAATTTCGCATTTTTTCATGAGAAGTTGCCTTTCTAGAAAAGGAACTCAGAATAAGACTATCCTACCTCCTATTTAACATTTTATAGCTGTGATTTGTTAGTCATCCAAAAATCTACATTATGTCAACAATATTATTTGTATCTTTGTCCTGCAATTGCTATTGATATCAAGTTACCCCTTGTTGATATCAAAATGCAGGAGACTCTTGCCTTTATTCTTTAGATGATAGACAGTTTGATGAAAGATTTATTATCATATGTTCTCACTGTACTAAACGATGTGCTCCTGTATTTCTATAAAAATAATAAGATAGCTAGAGAAATACTCAAGTGCCATGAAAATTCTGTAACAAGATTTAGGTCTAAGTAGTTTGAGAAAGACAACAAATGTGCACACTAGACGCGGTTAGTACTAAAATGTACAATAGAATTATAACCTCTGAACTACTTACTTAAAGGAACATTATCAGAACTTAGTCCACCAAAAAGAAAAAGTCTGTCATCTCCTATCGGAGTCAACGTGTGCCAGGATCGATCTTTTGGTTTCTCTCCACTGATATTAATTCTTGGTGAAACAAATAAACAAAAACAAATTTTCAAAGAATGCTGAAAATTAACCTGCCAGAAAATTTAATAGTTAATTTAGTTTGTCCTAGAGCAAGCTTGGCTATTTTCCCAGTGAAAAAGCTGTACTTACGCAATCTCAATTTACTCTTGAGAAGAGCAGTCTTCAAATCTAAACAAAGTCATTTCTTTTAGTAACTGTTCTCTGAACAATCAGTTATGTAAATATCAAATGTAAGGACAAAAGCATTGATTGTTATTTTGTTTGTTTTCTTAAGATCACTAAAGGCACTACTTAACATACAACTGAAGGCACTTAGGACAGCAAAGAAAGGACTATATATACAAATAACCTGCACAGTACATGTAGATAAACAGACTCAGTTACATGAGATAAAATATAAACAGTCCTGAGGGGCTACAGTCTCTCTACTCCTAGGAAAATGACCTTAAATGATACAAGGATTGCCGCTTTACCTGTTATCCAAAAGCTACTACCTCTTCAACCATTGTGCCTTTTAACACAATGGTGGGTCACCCAAACTTTGAGATAAATTTTAGTAGAAAGTGGAATTCCTAAGTACAAACCAGATGTATGTAGGTTTATTATTCAAAAAAATCTGCCCATGTTACAAAAATACAGATTCGATATTGATTTCATTTTAGCTGCACAGTTAGGTACACTTGAGATGAGAATCTGAACAGTAAAGAACCTGAACAGAAGGGATTACCTATCGTGGGTAGCCTGAATTCACACCATCTTACTTTAGGCCCTTAGGCGCATGGTTGTCTCAGGACGATCCCAACAGAGTAAGCAGAGAAGAGTAAGGACCTCCAGAGGGCATCGGCCCAGCTAGTATCTTGATACTAACCAGAGAGGCAACTTTTGTTGTGAAGGACCTAAAGTTAGACAGAAAGAATCTAGGCCACCGCATACTCAGTACATCCTCATTTTGGAAAGAGAATGGAAAAAGCAGGTGCAAACACCTGTAAGCTCTCTTGTGGGGTCAGAATCGTAGTCAGGGACTGTCCAGAGCGGGTAAGAAAGGAATGTTCAATCCAGGTAGATTGCATCTCAAAGAACCAGGTTGTTTTTTTTTTTCCTCCACTGTGCTAAAGTGAGGCGAGTGTAATATACACAGATGCGTGCTCAATCTACAATATGAACAGTGCAGAGACAGTCATCTATATTTCCTTTATAATCAATGAAGAGAAACAGGTCCTTGAAAAGCACAACTCGGGATTTATTTTAGATGTCTACCTCAGCAGCAGTTGTTTCATGCCCGAGAAGTGCCTGTTTTTCTTAAATGAGTACAGAGAAAGCCTAGGGTGAGTAATATAGGCAACTGCAGTTCAGTTACAGGAATTTCACTACTGGTGACTGCTAAGCAGTTCTCCATCTGGAAGCAAAGACTGAAGAATCATAGTGATTGCAAAACTGTCCTACTAAATTTGGCACTGAAGCTGAAGCCAAGTCACAATGTTTTGAGTGCCTGCTTTGCAAAACTCTTGTATAAGATGCTTCTAAAATTGGCAAAGAGGCAGAGTGTGCCAAGATACAACAGGCTTTGAAGTTCAGAAAAATATATACCAGATACTGATGGGTGATAACATTTAAATCTTTCACGCTACTGATAGAAAAAATTATCACAGTAACAGAAATAACATAATATTGAATATTTGAATAACAAATCAGTAGGGCTCAGGGAAGGCAAGGTAACTTCTGGGTAGGGGCAAATAAAATAAATATTGCAATCTCATGCTGGAAACTATTCCTGGATTAGTCAGTTAATATTATGCCGTTCCTTAAGAAACCTGCATAGAGTTGAATAAGAAAAAAAAATTAACATGACTGGTTAACGAGAAGCCATGGGGCTTTAAATAAAATCATCATTGCATTTGGAATTTTTCTTTTAGGAGAGGATGTCCAATAAGTGAATTTGAATGTAGGACTGTACAAACCAAGTCCTCCTCGCTGGGAGATCTGTACTTCACAGGAGAACTTCAAACACCTGCAGTCAACTTGTCTCGGTCAGCAGCATTCAAACAGCCAAATTTTTTAATCTGTATTAAATCCTTGAGTTGTGTTTGGTGATAATTCACATGGGCAATGAAAGGCGATCTCTCTGCAGCTGCAGAATGGCTGAGATAATTCTGTTATCCAGATCAGAATGGTTGCATCTTGCCCAATTTTTAATTCATCAGATCAGAAATTTCAGCAGAAAGTAATTTGAAGCTGCAGCATAAGAAAGGAAAAGTTCCTTGCAAGAAACACCTAGAAGAGGAAATATTCTGACAGGAAACAAGCCTGAAGGAATTTCCCCACCTGTAAAATACTGGAATGACACTAGGGCTTTTTAGAGGCAGTTTTCAGCTGGAAAGGGATTGTCTGATTAGAACTATTCAAAACTATTGCTGGTACTCAAAGGATATAGAGTGATTTTCTTTACTTCACACTCTTAATATGTAACTTTATTGGTCTCAGCAACCATTTCTTTGCTACATAAATTTCAGACCAAAAAAAAAAAAAAAGAGAGAGAAAAAAACCCACCCCAGCCTCTTTATCTACTCTGTCTTATCTTACAATGTTTTTGTGTGGAATCATGGGATTTTTGGGACCAAGTTCTTTGTATTGGAGATGATCCCTACAAATGCCCGATTTCTACTGATTTCATGAAAGGAAGTGTGCAGCCAGAAATAATTTTCCAAACAATTTGTGCAAAGACAGATTGTAAACTGGAATCAAAACTGGACTAATTTGGTATTGTCCCGAAAGATACACCGATTTTTGCTCCTTTTGCAATTAGGAGATGAAATCATGCTAAGGGGTACTGTATGCTTATGCATGCTGACAGGTGGCCTGGTAATATGAGATGATTTTACCATAGTAGATAATTAATAGCCACAAATAAATTATTTGGAGAAAACATCATCTAGCCCTAGGAAAGTACCCTTCCACCCCCCACCCCCACCCCCCCAATTTGCAGTCGACAATGGCTAATCTAATTCTGCCATCTGTGACACTCTGAATTATGTTTGTCAGGTTTCCCTAAGATCAGTCACTTTAGAAAGGTAAGAACAGGGCTCAGGCCTGTGAAGCTTCCTCTAAGAGCAGGCTTTGATTAGTTACCACTCTAGAGTTGAATAAATATGAACACTTTACCTCCTCTGAGGTGCCACCACAACAGCAGACACTCTGCAAAGAGTCCTTTTTTTTTCTAATCTCTTAAATATCTTTTTTTAGTCTCTCTTAAATCTCTTTTTTCAGTCTCTCAAAGACTCTTTGCAGAGGTGCTATAGAATGGCTGCATAGCAGGCGCCTGAATTTATAATGATCAGAGTCTATACTAAATCATGAGCAAGTCTTGTGAGCTATTCTTGGATTACAATATAGAAATAATTGAGTATTGGAACAACCTTCAGTTTTTATGAATGGCTGCATTTATTATTACCACTTCAGTCTAAGGATGTATGTGTGTGTGTGTATATGTATGTAAAATCACCTGGTTGTATTCAGGTCAAGAACAGAAAACACTTTTTAAAAACTTCAATATTAGCTTTCAAATGCCAAACAAAAGGGAACACTGGCTGACGAGGACTTAGACAGAACTTTGACAGTGACATCCCTCCTTCAGGGCTTGAAATTCCTCTCATTGATTTGTCACTCAACTGTCACAGGTTTCCTTTTTTATAGCAATAAAAAGCAAGCCAAACAGCAACTGCTCATGCAACAACAACAAGAAGTAAGCAGCTAAAGCAATAATCCGAATAATCAATCCACTCAGAGGTAACGTTGACAGTCTAAGAGGAACAATGCTGTCATTCAGTAGGACATTGTTAATTTTAGAACAACTACAAAAGAAAAAGGGGCATCAAACTGATCAGTTAATCATAAGTGCTAATTAAAGAAATCTTCAAAGAGAAGTTTTGTTGAAAGGATGCTGTTGGACTTCTTTGTCCTGCTGCCATGAGCAGCAAGAAGGAATGGATGGAGGATCATGTCTATTCCCTCGCTTTGCTCTTGGCTCAGAGGGCAGAGCAACACACTTGGTGCAGGATCAGCTCAGCAGTCACAGGTGATTAAAGATGCCCATCATAAGTGCATGAAGCACACAAAGCCCTGGAGCAGGATCAGTACTGGCACACACTCAGGAAAGGGGTATTTCGTGGTCTTTTATTAAAACTCCTATTAGGTTACCTTGAGAACAGGAACGGAACAGTGGTTATCACCCATCAGTTACTGTTTATCTCCTGGTTTGTCTACCAGCTAACAATAGATCCACTGATTCTACACATGTAGTAGACACTACCATAAATACTATATGCAAACAAACAAATCTTAGGAAGTATACTAATGCCTGATTTAGTTTAAATTTGAAATATTTAGGTCATGCTTTTACTTGATTTTTTAAAAAAATGGTTAAGCTGCTTGTCTTGGATGGAGAGGAGATCTTTCCCGAATCTGTACCATAATGAGCCAAACATAGATAGTAAAAACAGTATTTAAAAAGACATAAAAACTAAAATTCCATATGGGTAAATGTATCTGTCTTGAAAAGTAGGATGTTAAATCACTACATGCTGTGCTTAAAATAGCATCATCAACACTTTGGTGCAGAACAGGAAAAGCTTGGTAACCACTATCAAACTAAATTAAATTGAAATCACAATATAACAGCTGTTAAAACAGTTCCCAAACTCCCATTCTCCTCTTGGAAAAGCTACAAAATTAGCACTGGAACTATTTAACAATATGTTTCAATCTGGTACATTCAACTTTAAGTGTTATAGAGAGAAACCTACCTTCCAGACCAAGTCCAAGTGTCTAAATTCAGGCAGTGCAAATCATTCATTCTAGTTTGCTAAAACAAATAAATAGAATCCCAGTTGTGTTATATTAAGCAAACAATAAGCAGAGTATTTCAGCAAGGCCTTCCCAGAACAGAATATTCCAAGGAACAGTATTTTGAAGAAAACTGTACCCATGTGCTTCAAAACAACTCTCTATTATGTGGCAGATGAAAAGCATTTCTTCTCAAAAAACCCATGCAACTTTCAGGAAACTACCTGTCAGTAATGCAATGGCAGTATGGGGCCAATTTTAGCTTTTGGTAGCAGTTTAATAGTGAAGCACTATGCGATATTCAGTTCCTGCAAATGTATTCAATTTTCATCCATAGAATCCATGGTAGGTAATTCCAGAAGGTATAAAACTCTACATATAGTTTCCTCTCACTATTTTTCATTGCATTCTGATCAGAACTATGTATCCTCCTGCCTGATCACTTATTCCTTGAAATATTCTTGTAGGTACTGTACTCAGTACATGACATCCGACAAAAAGTTCCATCACATCTGCGTTTTTCTCTCTTTTCCAGAAGGCAAGCCCTTTCACAAAGTTACTACTAGCAACAAGGTTTCATGGCCCTTTAGCATTTGCCATAAAAATAATAACATGTATCAATAAGAACAATGGGAAATCAATACACTTGCATATCTGCCTGTGTTTTGAGATGAAGAAAGTAACTGCCTTAGAAACATAAAGATGAAGGAGAATATAAGAAAGAATTTCTTTGCTTTAGATTGTAGCAGTATTTTCAATGGCTCGCAATACACTTGACCGATATTTGTGATTCCCCTAGGTTCTACAAAACAATATCTGAGAAGTAGGGAAATATATCTTGCCTTACCTTACAATTTCTTTTCTCCTAGGGTAGTCCATAGATCTATTAGAATAAGCCTTTCTCCAGCTTGCAGATCCTTTGAGGCAGAAACTAGACTTGTCATTTAAGTCAGAACAGGAGTAGTTTTACCCCTGAGAACTCAGCCAGTGAGTGAGTTTAAGAGACTTCCAAAGCTGCCCATCAGAGCTATGGAAAGTCTCTCAGGGTATTTCAGGAAACAGTAAGGTTTTCAGGATAGCTTTGGCCTTCTCTGATCAAGTACATGCTAGCCCTTTTCTGTCCTAGGGAAGAGAACGTTAACTAGCAATTTGGAACGCCTTCAGAGAGGCCAACAGGCTAAAGAAAAGCAGAATGTGAGGGCTTCTGTGCATTGCCTGAGAAACTTTATCCCCGCAAGAGGGTGAATATAACAATAATGTGTGGTCCAGCTGACAGCTAGTAGAACAGATCTGTCTTCCATGAGAAGTCTATTCAGTTTCCTACTCCTTCAGGTGGCTTTGAAGGAGATGAGGAACAAATGATACAAGCAGAAAGCAAAATGCAATTACTGAGTATCTTCTGCTGTAACTGTACACAGCTAGACACTTGGGGGTAGGCTGGGGAAAAAGCAACATCCCGGCCTCTAGAACTAAAACTATTTAATCATCTTGGAATAACACAGTTCAATACAGAGGACATCTATTAAAGAAAGGGAAGAAAGTTGCTGTTATGTTGGAAATCAAGGTTTCAAGAGATCCTGTTCAAGACCTCCTCGCTGAATCTCCTTTCCTAGGCATTAGGCAGAAGATGGAGTAGTTTTCAGTTTCTTGGTCCCTGGGAAATCAATGTATTATAATCTTTACATTCTCATGATTCAACAGATCAACAGATGCATAATTACATCAACCTCATTTTGAATTCCAAACACATCATCAGTTGGACATTTATGTCTAAGATTCAGCCCTTTAACATAGCTTTAACAAATGAAAATGCCTCTCTACCTGACCCTTATTTGGGAAACTGTAAAGCACGCAGTCAGGTTATAGTATTGTCACTTGCCATATGCAAAGTTTTCTTGCAGTTTCTCATGCATCTCTAAATGCTACCTAATATATTTAATCATTTAGCTGATAATCCTAAGATGATTCTTAATTGGCTTAAAAGCATCAAGCCTCATAAGAGGGTTTGCATTTCCCTTTCAGCTACAAGGACTCCTTAGACATCCTACTTATCCATGGCACGTTCATTTATTTGCAGCCCAGTAAACATTAACCAGGATCTGCTCTGCCTCAGGATTAGCTTTCTAGCATGATGAAAGGCATTAAGGGTGACATATTTACAGCTCACTGCTGTTACAGTAAACTCTCTGCAGCTCTCCATTCTGAGATTTACAATCAAATAGCTATTACAGCTCCAATCTTTGTAAGAGAAAGATTGCAGTTCAACGTATCTTCTGATCTTCAGCGACAGAAAGGATAACAGGAAATATAAGCATGCATACATTAAGGCATCAGATGTGTGATGAGCTGCTGGAAAGACTTTGGTTTATTACTTCATCATTCTTTACATGAAAATTTTCCACTTAAATCAAACATGAGACTTGCATCAACTTTTGGACTAACTCTCCTTGCTTCCCACTTTCTCCCGCTTCTGTTTTTTCAGGGGCTTACCTGGAGGAACAGAGTCCACACAATACTTCTGAGCCTGTTTTCAAATGATTCCTGGTACAATTGATTTTGATCATCATCATCTTCTTTTACCAGTTCTAGCTCCAAGTTTGGAAAAAGGTGCCCTTTCCTCCCAGAAAGATGAATAGGAGAAGTCTCATGACACTTCCTGGCCCTTTCTGGTTCCTTGTAGAGCCTTTTCCCTGGGAAGATTTGTATTATGGTGAACTAGAAGGAGAAGGAGGAGCAGAGCAACCCCGTATTTGCTCCTTAATTTATGGAGAAAAGCAAGACTTCATCCTTTGGTGAGGAGTTACTCCTGTTGTCAGGAAATGTAGTGTTTTTCTGATGTCTTTAGCTTTCCTTTCCTGTTTCATGACTTACATTAATTGCTCAAGCCCCAGTGAATGCTGCCTAACCTTTGTAGTTTCCTTCCACTTTTTTCTAGGATAGAAAGTGAATCAATAATAATCACTAAGGTGACAATTACACTTGCTGCTCTCCTACAAAATCAAATACGGCTTTCAAAAATTTCACTCTTCTCTGACGTCGTTCCCAAGTGGTTTCACTGAAATCTAGCAAATGGTTATTAAGGAAGCTGATGCTACCTAAGGAAGAGAAAAACCTTTTCAGATCAGAGCTGCCTTGTATTTCTGAATCCTGTAGTCAAATAGTCAGAGTTAAATAGAAACCAGAGGGCATGTCCTCTTAGGGCATATCTAATCGTGCAACAGCACAGTGTAGAAATGACAGGTGAGCTCCAGTTTACTAATAATTTCACTTGCAGAGGCTGCATGAGAATCCTAGCTTGAGTTACAAAGCAGTTCAGTTGCAATAGCAACAGTGCAGCAACCCTAACTAGCTTGGACAAAACACTCCATGCTATTCTGTTTCTGGGTTGAAGACCTCTGCACCACGCAGAGATAGCCCTTGCTAACAAAAAGCCAGAGGGAACAAGGCTTTGAAGGCTGAGAAATAAATGGAAGACTAAAAGGTCCTGAGCTGCATGTTTACTTCATCACATCTAGGTTTCTTTCCCTCTCACATGTGCAGGTTTGCTAAACAAGGAGCAGATTCAGTTCAGCTGTGGTTGGCAAGAGTTCATTTATACAGGAAACACAAAAGAACACGTCCATAGCAGAGGCACAGGGCTCACTTAGCCTGCCATGGCTAACCCTGACACAAAAGATTCAAGTAAGACTAGATACTTTTTCAATCTCTTCTAATAGCCCTTTATTTCCTTAGTTATTTGCAAATCGAGTTTGTCCAAACCTACAGCTCTGGAAGCTACTGCGTGCAGTTCTCTCTGAGTCAGATGTGGGGCTTTAGCAACAATTCCAGAGATTGCGAGGCTGTATGAAAGGCCACGTAACACGTAATGCAGATGGTAAGAATAAACAGGATCAATTTTGGTGACCTTCTTTTCTGATTGCTCTGAAAAGGTACTTAGGTAAAAACTTTTCCTGCTGCTGTGGGAGGCAATTCAAACTGAAAAACTGGCTGGACACTGTGGGGCCATTCTGAACCTGCCTTGATCTGTATGTCTGGTTTCTGTCTGAGCAAGCAGGAGTAAGCCATTTTGTAACAGAACTGTAGACTTTCCCTGAGAAGAACACTGCATTAGAGTACAGCTTTTACAGCATGAAAAACAGGGGAGAGGGAACAAAGTGCAATTTTACACTGTTTTATTTGCAAGTACTTGAGAATACAGGGTTTAGGTTATGGCAGCTTTCCAAGATGAAGCTGGCGTATGTTCATTGTAGGGCATTTCTAACCAACAGTTAGTTCCTTCTCTTTCATATAGCTATAGAAACACAGCACTGAGGGCTTTCAAAAGCTCCTTCACTGTTACTTTTCATAGTAGTAGAGACAGAAAGCATCATGTCTCGTCCTGTAGCTGAATATGATTAAAGGCTCTAAATTAGCTGTAGGTAAAAAGAGCTAAAAACTTAAATTAAAAAAAAAAATATGTAAGAGTACACAGTAATGTAAATTAGGAGGGTTTTTTTTCACTTGCCTTACAGAATCTTTCTCACATTCTGGATAAACTCCAGCTCATACAGAGACCTTTAAAAATATTGTCCTCCCTATGCTTTTGCAACAGTTCTAAAAAGAGTTGGTACATTTTCCAACCCATAAACTATCCTTGCAAAAAATTTACAAACGACAGGAGAGCCTACATTAGTTAAGACTATGTACTACCATCTTTATTTTCAGACATAAGACAGGAATACGTTTTTTAGATTGGTTTGCTGCCTCAGGCTTAAATTCTTACATTAATGCTTCAGCAGAGAACTGAAGAGGAAACCTCCTCTGACTAATACTAGAAAACTTAAGTGTGTTGCTGAGAGGTTTTAGTATCTCCTTGCCTACCACTGGTGGCTTCCAGTTTGTTAGGTACAGATAACCAGGGGGATGATGCTTAAGGCTTTTTTTTAAGTTAAAAAGAGCTAGGAAGAGTTAAGATTATATTAGCAAGAATCTAGCCTTGATTTAAATATGCACTGACTGCATTCTATACAGACAGCTCTTATGCCGCCTTTGACTATTACCTAAGGGACAACAGATTTAAGATCCTCCCACAGTGTATTAAATGGTATAGTCTTGGATCAACTATCAAGAAAGCAAATACAAGCCTTATTCTTGTGGTAAAGAGGTTATGTTGGATCCACAGAATAAAGCTGTTAACAGCAATCTCTACGGTACGCTGCACATATTCTGTATGAGACTGAGACTGCAAAATTGACATTCAGAGAGTAGAGGAGAGGCTTAACAGGATTGGAATGACCTGTGCCTGTGCTATCAGATAACACGCTGCAGAATCCTGTACCAGCTTGAATGTACAGAGACTAAAAGCTTTGTATCCAGACATTATAATCACATGCTGCTCTTCCAGACATCTGTATTTCAGTCACTTATGTGCAAAGAATGACAAAAATTTAAATTATAAAGCCAACTGAAATCTGTTATCCCATACCTTTCAGAACCACATTTTGCATTTGTAAATATAAAGTACTGTATCCCAACAGCTATTCTGAACTTCACTTTCCCAGAAGGTAAACATCAGCGTTCGAGATGTGTATGTGAGTAATTGACTGTTGTTACAGATTTCCTCTTTCTTGGGGAGGGGGAGCACAAGCTAAAATCCCAATTATATTTACTACTTGCTAGCATTTCATTAAGTGAAATGGGGAAAAAAAAGCCAGCAGGTTTCATGTATAAATCTGCAAGCACAGAATGCTAGCATCTCATTTATTTAAACCTAGTCTATCAGCAGGCTTGCTTTTGCTCCACTCTCAAAGAACCATCTCTCACAGAGATTACACACCATCAACCATTTTTGTTGATTTAGAAACATTTGCATTTACCATACACTTTTTTTTCCTTTTGGGGACAATGTATACTTCATCATTAATACTACAGACAGAAAGATAGACTATTCTTTTTGTAAGGTAGAGGGGGATGAAAAGAAGCATCCTGGATTCAATGCCCCTAACATACACGTTAGGCCAAAGACATTTTGGATTTTTTTCCTACTACAAAGTAATTTGCCATAAAAAAATGACTGCCAAGAAAATAATATTACTGTGAATAAAATGTTTTAATTCAACACTAACCAGCACTCGTCCTCCAAAGATGTAACCTTTATTTCCCAGCACAGCACAGGTATGAGCTGCTCGAGGCTGAGGTGGATCTCCACCCTGAAAGAACCAAAGTAAGATCCTTCAGAACATTATCAAAGTGCCAGTCAAGGATAGTGGCAAGTCAGTAACACAGAAACTGCAAAGATAAGGCCAACATGCATCAATATGCCGACAGGACTGCAACTTTAAAAGGAAATAATTTGTAGTCATGTCCAAGGCTCCACAGACATTAGAAGATACACATAATTGCCAAGGACAGCTTTAACTGAGTTCCCTCAGTTGCTAATATTTGATGTATTCCCTCTTGATCTGATTTATCATTGCTTTACTTAAGTGAAATTCAATTAATTTATCTTTAGTTCCTAAGCATTAAATTACAGTCACACATCAGTTATTGTTGGTATCTCCTGTGCAGCTTTATTTTTTCCAAAGTGAAAACCATCAGGAACTGCTACTAAAATCTCTGGAAATCAGATCTTAAAATTTGATGTTACATCCCATAGCCATATGCCAAAAAGTCTTCCCTGTGTAAATCAGACATAAAGATGGCAAAATTGGCTTTTACTTTTCAATGGTAATTTCATTTTTTGCATTTAGTTTTACAGGAATTTTAGAACATCCTATAAAGACCATAAAGTAGTGTCAGACGCTCATTATGATACACTACTTCTACTGAGTTCTTATGTAAACTCAGCAAGGTTTTATGAACCTTTATAGTATACTATCATATTAATATCAATAAATAGAAACGTGTGCGTTACTATTTCACTGAGAATGTGAGTGTACATGCTCCTTTGGAAGACTATTAAAATAACATATTTGCTGAAGAATATCTGATCTGTTTATTCTAACAATATAGCATGACTGGGAGATACTTGTGCAAAGATTTTTCAGCATTAACTCTTGGAGGGAATACAGCAACTCCATATACAGAACGCTCAAAATAACGAGCATATAACCCTCACACACTAAACACATATCTTTAGTTCACAAAGAAAAACTGAAGGCCCAAACTCGCAATACAGTGAGTTTACTATCTCTCTCCTTGCTTTCTTTAAGTCTGTGAAAGCTGAATGGTGAACCAAGAGAGACTAAATTTCAAGACCACTATTGCTCTTTCAGCCCAACACGCTATCCTTCACACTGACCTGTCAGCTTTATGAAAAGGGGGAGGCAGGGGAAAGGAAGAAATCTCCAGGCAGACCTTAAGCTCTCATGTGGTCAACTCTGTTATCTGTGATAGGTTATCCATGTTGCAGATTAATTATATACAGATACAGGCATCCAAATGGCTTCATATCAAAACAGTTCAGAGAAATGGAGTTTGTTAACCTCAGTTTTGCACCATCAAAACCATTCATGTGTCTCTACCACGCACTCCCCAAAGACCTTCGCTTCATTCCAGAAGGCCTTGGGTAGGTGTGAGGCAGGATGAATACAGAGCTGGCCTGCCTTAACGGCTATGCTCCAGCCACAAAACTCTTCCAGACCCAAAGCCCTGGCAAAGCCTACAAGGATACTCAAAGCCGGTATAACCGTCATAATCCATGTCTGCAGGACCCAAGCTTGCTTTGTGAAGCGCCTCTGAAACACCTCCACACCCCGTTCCTCAGCCTCACTCTGGTATTCCTACTAAATGGTTTTCTGGAGTATTCCAGTGCCTTGTCTTTCCAGTAATGCAGCACTTACAGTAATTTTATATTCCCAACAGTTGTCTTAAAGCTTGAATACAAAGCTTTATCTCCAAACTATTCCCTAGATACAGAATACTGTATCATCTTCTAATGTATCCAGATTTCTAATACCTCTTTGAAGCTTACGATATTTTTTGCATCAGAACATTATAGAAAAAACACGTCTAATAACATCCTGTGGGGGAAAAAAATTCATATCAGTTCTGAATTTTCCACATTTCAGAGGCATTGAGTGTGCTCCTGTTTCATGTTATAAGCCTGAGCAAGACTAAGCACATTCAAATTACTTTTCCCAACATCAATTTCTAGAGCACAGTAATGACTCAAAATGCAGTAAAATCACAATTGTGTCAAAAGACAAGACTAGAAAACACTCACTCTAATTGCTGGTTGAGACCAAGTTTGTGTAGTTGTATCAAAAACATGAACATCATTATGCCATCCCCAGAATATCTGTCCTTCCTAAAAAAGGAGTTAAAAAAATTAAAAATAAGTATATTTTATTTTAAAATCTTTTTGTTCTTATTAAAGGATACCAACTCAGAAGTGATCTATCAAAACAGAAAATAAACTAAAGTACAGAATTTTATTTAAAAAACCATAAGTTAATGTCTTTAATAATGATGCAGCAGCTCAGATCTAGTTGAAGGTCAATAGCATTCAGGAATTTTAAGGCTGATGACACTTTTGAAAATGGGCTTTGGGCTCCAACATCAGTCACTGCAGTAGACAAATTCTCATTTTTAGTGTAACATACTCAGAAATAAACAGATTGTACAAAGTAATACATTTCTGTAAGTCAATATTTAACATTTGATATAAGGATCTATACTCCCTTGAATATGTATCTATTTCTTATTAATGCCTGTCACTAAATACTCTAAACAGTCTCCTCCTTTCTATTAACTGTACGAAATCAATATAGGAAACTAGCTAATCCAGGCATCTTAAAGTAATGGCATTTACTCTGGATAACAAATTCAAGAAATTAACTGAAAGTATTTGTAAGTTAGACTTGTGAAGCTATAAATTCCCTATTGTTACTTCAAGGAAATAAAATTCTAAAATTTTCTGGGAGTTTCACATGTAAAATATGTCTTCAGATTTAAAATACTGCCTTTGTTCCTGCTTTGACAGCATTTTGTTTCACTGCACTCAAAGCCTTGCACTGGGTACTTGGAATACACTGAACACCCGCTGCTCCCAACATGCAATATCTAAAATTTCAAATCTAAGCAGAAGACTCTAATTTGCATTTCTGCTGATGCTACAAAGAAAAGAAAAATCAGACAGATTTTCATACTTACTGAGTATAGTATAAAAGATCATGTTTTGACAATCAGAAAGGACAAATCACTCTGCATTGTGACAAATCTCTTACCCAAAATGCATCATGGACATCAAAACAATCACTCAGTTCATTATGCTTCCTACAGCCATAGCCACCAAAATATATTAGCCTAAAAGAACAACAACAAAAAATGACTTCAGTTAGCTGTTTTGTAAATAACATTCAAATTAATAAGCTGTAATAATTCATTTCAACTTTCGGTTTACTTACTGTACTATTAATAATATAAACAACTTAAAATATTTCATATTGCACCTAATTACACAGCAAACCTTAGCGAGATGAAGGCAATAGTTAGGCTTCTCAACAAGCCTGACAGAAATCCACATGAGCAAGGAAGGAGGTTCAAGATACCTCCAAGTCCCTATTCTCTATTCCTCCATCCACAAGCTGCTTCATCACAGTCACGTTTTCAGACACGAGTCTTAAAGTGACACATAACACACAAGACAGTGAAATGCCTCTGCTTCTGCTAGAATTCCTACCCTTTTCTATCGAAATTCCTGTGCGCCTGCTATATTTGTTAGTCTTCTGCATACATCTTTTCACAATAAGTGTTCCCAAGGTTCAGCCCACAGACTGCCTGTGACCCACAAAGCCTTTCTCTAGCTTTTACAAAGATTCTTCCAACTAAGCACTACTGAACATATTGCATTGCAAGTACTGTTACACACCTCCCAGCCTAATATTCCACCCATGAAATGGCCATCCAAAAGTAATGGTTCCTAAAGTTTTGTTTAACTTCAACATTTGAGGATATTTGGTATAGTTGTTAGTGATCTTGGGAGAAGGCAATTTAGGAAATGATGGGATGGTGAAGGTCATTCCAGACTGACATTCCTAGGGAAACAGAGTTACTGAAAGCATTGTGCAATACACCAAGACATCCTGATCTGCAAATTCACATCTTGTGAAATTTTAATGTATAGTTCTGAAAAGGTGCATAGCTTGTCCCCAAATACTTTTGTTAAATGAAAAGGTTACACTCTGCCACCTAAAATAGGTAATTTTCTCAGTATGCAGATTACATAATACTCTGAATAGATTAATCTAGTTTTGAATAATGTTGTATTAACAGCTAAGGAGAAGGTGTTCAAATACATGTAATTTCATATATCTTGCAGTTAAATTAGAATTACAAAACCAAGATAGGACTGAGAGGTATTACACGGTTTACACAAAACCTCTTTAGATATGGAGTCCAGAAATAGATAAACCATTTACATTTTATAGTGTTCACTGCATATCACATTCTTACTTGTTTATAACAACTTTTATAAGAAATCACTGACATGTCTCTTTCTTCTGACCACAGATGCCACAATATCCAGACACTTTCCATAATAGACAGAAAATCTGAAGTATTTATTTTTAGCTAAGTATTTTTTCTAAATATACTCAGTAACTTTTATAACACAAATATTTAGGCTGACTTGGTTCTTACAAAATCATTACTGAAATGCCTTTGCAATTGTCAGCATTTGTATGCTACTAAAATCCTTAAAAATACAGTAAGTATATTTTATTGCAGGTAATAATTTAATGCTTACACACTGTAACAAAAAAAATGTAATTTCTATATGGATTTTTTAAACGTGTTAAAATTAAAACTATAAGTAATAGATACATAATGATTTTTATCTAAAGTCTCAAAGCATTTCACAACTTTCACTAAATTTCCCACCCCTCTCCTGAAGTGGGTTTATACTTACCATTAATTCAGCTCACATGTGAGAAAACTCTGGTAGAAAGTTGTTAGGAGAGTTACACAAAATCCCACAGCAAGTCAAGCTAAGAATTAGAGTGTCATGAATCCCAAACCTGTGTGCTCTTCACTTTATAGTACTTCCTCTCTGCAATTAACACATATTAAATATTCTTAATGTGTTACCTGTCCTTATACACCCAGCAGGAAAGCTTGTCGCGTGGTGTAGGAGGTTGACCTTTAAAATTTGTAATTTTTTTCCACCTATAGGTTCCATTTTTTGTTCGCAAATTAACATAATACAGCTTAAAAGAAAAAAATTACAATATTTTCAGTATAAATGATGTCAAAGAATCCAGCACAAATCACCCACAAAAAGAACAACCCACCACCCCCAGAATACCCTACTTCCTTTTTTTAAAAAAAAAAAAAAAAAAAAAAATGAACTGAAAGTGAAGTTTACAATATGTAGCAACATACAGGAAGAGTCCAATACACCACAAGAACACAGTTAAAGTGTGAGAATGAGCAGCAAGTTTCCTTGCCTTCACTCAGCCAGACCAGAACAGTAATATCCTGCTCCTTCCAGAGTCAACTGAAGCCTTGCAAAAAACTTCTGCAAGACAAACAGCGCCCAGTTCAATTCTACTGGCAGAAGGGTCAGGAGTTCTGCCTAACCTAACTAGGTAACTACACAAAAAACAAGGCTTGTGAACCGAGCACTAAACTGAGATCTGATTACAGGCTCCATTTCAGGTATTTTCTAGTCAGGACTGAACTCTGACTTTATTTACACTAAATGATAAAACAGCTCATTTCATCTACTTTGCTGTTCCAGTTTTCAGTTACAAGGAAAACTGGCAGCTGTATTTTAACTTTAATTATTACCTGATTATATAAAAAAGGTAATCACTATCAAACAGCAAAAATAAAAGTGATACCCTGAGATCAATTTCAATTATGGCTGCCAACATATTTAAAAAAAAAAAAAAAAAAAAGAGGCAATTGGGTAAGCACTGGCAGTTTTCAGAAATGAATACAGAAAGTTTCACGTAATGGGTCTTATTCTGAAGCTATGATTCAGTGAAAAATCCCAGAAAAATATACAGAGTTGAACATTAAAACAAAAACTGAAGTTTTTTGTCAAGGTATACTTTTTCTACAAAAATAAAGCTTTTCCTTAAATTTCTCCTGAATTCAAATGCAAAGTACACCAAACAAAACAGTACAGCCAGCATTATTATTCATTCAAATACAATACGTTACGAAAGAAAAGAATACAATACCCGATTACTGTATCCTTTATCATCAAATCCACCAAAAATGTACAGCTTCCCATTAATGCTTGCCCCACAGCTTCCTGACATGGAGGTAGGTAACTCTCCTTCCATTAGGTGCATTGTCCTGCAATTTAGCACATACATTAAGACTTACAATGCTGCTTTCAAATCTGCTAAAATTAACAAACGGAAACCAGATGTATTAATAATTTCTAGACTTAAAGCTAAAGATACAGTTTTGGCCATAACTAGCGCTAGAAACTACAGCTGGTATATGAAGTCAGGCTCCTGTGGTGTAAGAGGACTTTCACATGAATATTGTGCATACCTTTATGAAGCATCTCAATTTTTCTGAAGGTGAAGCCCGTATTAAAAGAGCATTAGTAGAGCTGAAACATTACATTATTCAAAACCTGGAAATACTATTAACATTAACTCCAAAAAATCCTGAAATGAGAACATGGTACTGCTGTTATTTTACAAGGGAAAACTGAGGCAGAAGTAGAAATAAAGGTCAGAAGTACTCACTAATTTTGGTACCCAATATGCCACTCCTAAAACTGCATTTTGCACTGTATTTAGCATAATAAAAAAAACTTCAATAAGGCCAACTTTACCAATGTGTTCTATGTTCTGCTGCAGCAGCAGTTCCTAGCCTTTTCCTTGCTAGCCTCACTTACAAACCAGCAGCTTCCTGTGATGTAAATTGTAATGTCATGCAATCTCAAGCAGTATGCAACCATCTGACGAAACTCAATTTCTACCGAACTCATGAGGCTGAGCATTAGGCCAAGGCTGCGCTTAGAATCATTACCCCACACTGAAAACAGCTCTCCTAGGATCTCAAATTTCTACACAACATAGGGACCTGCATCTCCCTCTCACACGTACACGCACAGAGGACATGTGATTTGTTTCAGATTTCCACCCTGTCGCCACACCTTCAGTCTCTGTAGATTTAGCAGCCAAATCCCAGTCTCTCTGTGCTGGCACTCAACTCCTTGCCCCAGCTTCGCTGCCGACATCTCAATTGCTTTCAACCCCATAGTTTCTGATTGAAGCTTCTTTCCTCTGCCGTTCCTGTTCATCTTTCTCAGCTCTCCACCTGACTGTGCCTTCCAACTGGATCCTTAGCCCAGTCTCCCTCCTCAGTCATGTCTCCCACCTTCAAAGCCTGATTCCACTTTTTCTTCTCTCTGCTAGCTCTAGTATCACCACACTTGTTGACCCACTCAATTCCATTCATCCCCTTCTTCTGTGCATTCACATCTAGATCAGATGCCTCCACTGTCTATCCCTGGTGGCTATACAGAAGAAAAGGATTCTCACAGCTTTGAGTTCTGATGCTTGACCTTACCCTAACCTAAAAGAACCGGAGGCAGCCAGTAAAAGGAAAAGCTTTTCATGTGCTAAATCACCAGATGTGAATGACGCTTGTGTCACCTGTCCCTACAGAAAATGGTGCTCACTAACAGCTGCTCAGGGCACTGCTTCCAAATACCTTTGTTCTGGCATCAGCCCTGCCACAGGCCAGCCCACCTTCCCCTTCTCTGCTCTTGCTCTCTCCCTCCTGCTTGTTCCTGTGTCACGCAGTGCACTCAGCTGTACGTGCACAACTGTATGGGCTGTAAACTGAATAAGATCAAGAACGGATCCAGGTTAAAAATAACCTTGAAAAAAAGAAAAGTTATATTTAACCCAGATCACTTTCCTGATCCAATTTCCCCTGTGACCATATAAACAGCTGTACCAGTATAACCGATACGGGGACATCAGGGGTAAAAAAAACCAGAAGAGAGTATGAGGTTGCTTTAGCCAACTCTTTCACCAAAAGAAACAGACAAAAAACCACAATCTTGGTGAGGGTACAATCTTAAAAAACAAAACAAAACAAAACAGAAAAACGACTTGCTAAAACTTCACAGCTAGCCATATGCAAACCGTTGCTTTCAAAGTCAGTGACTTGACCACACATATGTGGAACTTCCTACATACCCCAAGACACCTTCCTAATCTAGCCCTCCTCCCTTTTTCCCTTCAAATTGTTCCTTTGAATATGGATATGCAAGAGATATATAAACAGGAGGAAGACTAGAAAGACAGCTGGCAGAAAACACACGTAAGCCCAAATGGATACTACTTTACCAGATTGAAAGTAATTATTGCAGTAGAAACCACTGGAAAGCCTTAAAAAGAGGCATTGTTCTCTCTCCCCACATACGATACGTAAACACAATCAATATAAAATGTAAAGATTAAATGGCTAGTGATGTGCAAGATCTGGTTAGTTATGAGTTACTAACGCAAATACACTCAGAACACAATTAAGTAATAACAAAAAATATATACTTGTAAATAGATCAAGAACACAAATATCCAGTGTTTAAATATCCCTTTTAACATAAAAGTTAACATACGGAGAACTAAGTCAAAATAAATGCCCAAATAAAAAGCATCTGTTTTAACAACAGATCCTGAAGCTGACCATTTGAAACATTCTCTTGAAAAACAAACAATTATACTTAAGGAATTAATGTGTTTCCTAGAGTTAATTTGCAAGTACGTATGTCTGTTGTTTAATCTTTACATTAAATATCTGCTATTTAAACTCCAGGGAACGTGACCAATAACTCATGTAACTGAAGTCTTCTCAGCGCAGCTAACTGTAACCTATGCAAAGATCAACTTCATATATTAATTAAATTATGCAATTTACCATAACCCGCTATCCATTTCATAGATCCAGAGCTCATCATTAGGCAGATAAACTTCATTTTCTTCAATTGACTAAAACAGAAAAAAAAATTGCAAATGTTAAATCAATTATGCATTACACACCATAGGTTTTAAAATGAAATACCAAATCATGTTACTTAGCAACACAGAATAATCTTAAGGAGATAATCTACCAGAGCATAAGTCATACCCCAGCATTATTGCTCTGATCATTACAGTTTTAAACAGGCAGCTCAATAATGCTAATATTTTACATTTTATACTCAAAGTTCAAAAAAAGATGTTTTTTATTTTTTTGAAGCTATTAAAAATACTGCGCTAGGCATTTCCTGATGTCTTTGAGCTTTGTTGATTGTTAATAGCATCTTTAATCACTCATTTTAAGGTATGAAGATTATAAAAAAATTAAGTTTGGTGTATCAGAGATAGGGAGAGAAGTGTTCCGATATTCAAAAACCACTGTGTATACAATAGCCAATTTGTAAAAATAAGAAAATAGCACAGGTGAACAATTAAGTCATTAGGAAACATACATAACTGCTACTAACAAGTAGCACAACAGTACTATAGCATGACCATGGACCTAAAACCCCCCAAAATCTTAAGAGAGACCATCAAAGACGCTCCTCTCCTCTATTAAAATGTTGTTACTAAAGGAAGTATTTTTTCAGTTACTGATGTGATCACTCTGAGCAGATTTTGCTGTACTGTTAGCCTTCATACCTCCAAATACAGAACACCAAAGACGAGCATCAAAGTCTTAATGCTGTTCTTTGGGGCTTTTTGCATCTTTAAGTAAAAAAAAGAGCTCTCCTTCACCTGAAGGATTTTTTTTCTCATTCCACAACCCCTTTTTAACTTTTCCAGAAACAGAGACTTTGCCACGCTGTCTAGATGGGTAAAGAACTCAACAACTAAAAAAGTTGGAAAAAAGTACTTATTTTAAAAATAAAGAACTTAATTCCTCAGGCCCACTCATTAAAGGCACAGCTTTACCAACTTAATGTTTTGCCAAGAAAGATGTGTAACAACATAAACCAGACCAGATTTGAAGCTCCTGTATTAAAACTCATTATCTTTTGTTTTGAGAGATACTTTTAATTACGAGGCAATTCTTGGCATAATGGAAAAATACAGAGAAAAGCGTAACTGAAAAGCACAAAAATAATAGTTACTTGAAGCGACTGAAGGAAGGAACTTGAAAGAATAAAATGACAACTATAAAACAGCTTAACCTGTGCCATAGTATGAAGAAGAAAATCAATTCCTCTGTGGAAAACAAATCTATGAAGACTTACAAACAGAGGCCATGTAAGAAAGAAAGATAATTTGGGAAATGATGATTAGGAAGAATAACAAACAGGAGAAGGAAGCCCAAAAGAATGCAATTGCAGCACTCAGGCTAAGTAACAATTACACCATTAATTATTGTCTTTGCATTAGAAAGAAATGAAAGACTGTGAGGGAATAAGCAGCCAGAGTCAGTAAATAAAAAAAATTGGATCAAAATTAAATGAATGTGAGGAAAAGAAGTTAAATACAAAACTGAAATTTAATTATTAACAATTTAGTTACTGATCTTGATTACCTGCCTTTAAATGACACTTTATTATTACCTTCTCAATTTGAAAGGTGCCAACCAGGCACGTATCAACTACGTTTGGTACAGTTTATCCTGCCAGGTACCCTTCATAAGGCAGGCCCTGCTGTTACACGCCGCTTGCAGCTTTCACAAAGTGCCGAATTCTACTCAATTTTATCTAGATACGTCAGTGGTCAGAGGCCAAGCATTTGCTGCAGAACCAGCTCTAAGCAAACACACTGATGCCAAAAATAAGTTCGCTGGGCAGTAGTCCACTATCAACATGTAAAACGACTTACCTATGTAAAGTGCTGCTTAAGGAGTAACAATGATTTTCGTAATACTCTCCACAAATAAATATGTAATATTACTAAAAACGTTTGCAAAGTTTAAAGCTGCTAAACTTTTAACATAAATTGTCCATTTTAACTGTGCCATAAGCCCAGGATCCTTTTTTAGAAAACCTTTGACAAAAGTGTGCTAGCCAGCCCAACATCAGTTGCTAAAGACCAAAGCATACAGAACTACCACGTATCTCCAGTGATTTAGGTGATGCGTAGTTATACAGAGTATTATGGAGCTTAAGGCCAGAAAAGGACACTAAGTCTTCCCGTACATCACAAACTACTCCCATTATTTAAATATATGCTTATTCTAAAGGTGGCTAACTTCTTCACACTACAAAATATGTATTCAAATCCTTACGTGACTTGCAGTCACGAGAAACACTATCTACCAAAGACCCCCCAAAGGGAAGAAAAGCTGTGGGAACATTTTACAGGCTCCTGAAAGTTCCTCAGTTTCATTACAGTTTGGTATTGGGCAAGCCTGGCCATGAAATAGGCTAGAGAAGGCATGCCAGGATAACCCAGGGAGTGAAATTGCCGACCTGCTTCCGACCACAGCTACGGGTCTGTATTTCAGTACGCAGTATCTGTTTGTATTTTCAGTGTTTCAGAAGTCACTAGCAGCACAACCCTTTCCAAGTCAAATGAATCAAGCTCAGGAGCAGAGCAACTGCTCAAATTCCACAAGCTGCCCAGCTCTACCTCGCCTTTTAAGTCCAACGTTTTTAGTTATAAAAAACCCAAACATTCCAATTTCCAGAAAGTAAACTATAACGTGCTTCAGGAAGAGACAACTAGCCACTAGTACCCGAGAGCCCTGGAAATGCCCTTCCTTCTGCTATTGCACACGCTCATAACATATAATGTGCTTTCCAATTTAAATCCAGGAGTCCCCAACTACAATTCTCCGCTTGAGTACAGAAGGACAAGCTTTAAACATTTGAGTTTACCTTAGCCCATGAAAAATATAGATAGAAGAACACAGAATATGTTAAGAGAAACACATTTTCAACCTGATCAAGACCAGGAATAACACCAAGCACAGCTACTTTCACATTTTAGGGCCAACATGCACAGACACTGTGGATAAAATGAACTGGCTGTATTTAACGTAGTATGACTCATAGCTCTCTTTTGGACTGACTTCATCCAGTGCTAGGAGTCACAAGATTTACTTATGCCAGAACTAGAACTGATCTTTCAATGGAAAAGAAGACGTGGTTTTAGTCTGCCACCAACTTGTTTCTGAAGTGACACAACTGCTTTCTGAGGAAGGAAAACACACTGTACATAGCACACAGCTACTAATAAGTAATAAATGCAGGGACTCAGGAAGAACATGAATTACACACTGGAAAAACAGAGCCGCGAATTACAGCCGTCACCCCACAGAGGAAGGGAGGCGAGAGCAGCACTCCCAGAAGAACCACACGTCTGTAGGAAAGGGGAAGCAAACCGGCTCCACCAGCCTTTCCCCAACACGTGCTCCACGACGGAGGCAGCTGAAAGCGGGAGGCAGCCGGGGCACCTATACTTAGGGAAGGGGACAAACTGATGGCAGGGAAGCAGCACATGGAGGAACCCCCTTCTCTTCCCTTCCCGCCCACGGCTTTCTC